CTCTCTGACAATGTTTAAACCAGGTTAAAGACGGTTCTGTTTAGCTGTGCATACAACTGAGGGATTTTATATTTTTATATTTTTTTTAAATTTTGTTTTAATGTACTGTGATTATTTATGATTTTAAGGCTTTCTTGTTTTGTTCAGCACATTGAGTTGCCTTGTGTATGAATTGTGCTATACAAATAAACTTGCCTTGCCTTGCCTTGCCTTATCAGTCTTCTCCTTGTTTGAGATGAAAGTTTGGAGGGACGGCCGGGTCTTGGTAGATTTGCAGTGGTCTGATACTCCTTCCATTTCAATATAATTGCTTGCACAGTGCTCCTTGAGATGTTTAAAGCTTGGGAAATCTTTTTGTATCCAAATCCGGCTTTAAACTTCTCCACAACAGTATCTCGGACCTGCCTGGTGTGTTCCTTTGTCTTCATGGTTCTCTCTGCGCTTTAAACAGAACCCTGAGACTTTCAAAGAGCAGGTGCATTTATACGGAGACTTGATTACACACAGGTGCATTCTATTTATCATCATCAGTCATTTAGGACAACATTGGATCATTCAAAGATCCTCACTGAACTTCTGGAGTGAGTTTGCTGCACTGAAAGTAAAGGGGCCGAATAATATTGCACGCACCACTTTTCAGTTTTTTATTTGTTAAAAAAGTTTAATAATCCAATAAATTTCGTTCCACTTCACGATTGTGTCCCACTTGTTGTTGATTCATGACAAAAAAATAAAATTTTATATCTTTATGTTTGAAGCCTGAAATGTGGCAAAATGTTGAAAGGTTCAGGGGGGCCGAATACTTTCGCAAGGCACTGTATATTGAAATGGAAGGAGTATCGGACCACTGCAAATCTACCAAGACCCGACCGTCCCTCCAAACTTTCATCTCAAACAAGGAGAAGACTGATCAGAGATGCAGCCAAGAGTCCCATGATCACTCTGCAGATAACTACAGCTGAGGTGGGAGAGTCTGTCCATAGGACAACAATCAGTCGTGCACTGCACAAATCTGGCCTTTATGGAAGAGTGGCAAGAAGAAAGCCATAAAAAGTCTTGTTTAAAGTTTGCCGCAAGCCACCTGGGAGACACACCAAACATGTGGAAGAAGGTGCTCTGGTCAGATGAAACCAAAATCGAACTTTTTGGCCACAATGCAAAACGATATGTTTGGCGTAGAAGCAACACAGCTCATCACCCTGAACACACCATCCCCACTGTCAAACATGGTGGTGGCAGCATCATGGTTTGGGCCTGCTTTTCTTCAGCAGGGACAGGGAAGATGGCTAAAATTGATGGGAAGATGGATGGAGCCAAATACAGGACCATTCTGGAAGAAAACCGTTTGGAGTCTGCAAAAGACCTGAGACTGGGACGGAGATTTATCTTCCAACAGGACAATGATCCAAAACATAAAGCCAAATCTACAATGGAATGGTTCACAAATAGACGTATCCAGGTGTTAGAATGGCCAAGTCAAAGTCCAGACCTGAATCTAATCGAGAATCTGTGGAAAGAGCTGAAGACTGCTGTTCACAAACACTCTCCATCCAACCTCACTGAGCTCGAGCTGTTTTGCACTTTTCAGTTTTTTATTTGTTACAAAAGTTTAAATTATCCAATAAATTTCGTTCCACTTCACGATTGTGTCCCACTTGTTGTTGATTCTTGAAAAAAATTTTTTTTTTATATCTTTATGTTTGAAGCCTGAAATGTGGCAAAATGTTGAAAGGTTCAAAGGGGCCGAATACTTTCGCAAGGCACTGTATATATATGTGTATATATATATGTATATATATGTATATATATATATCTATATATATATATATATATATATATATATATATATATATATATATATATATATATATTATATATATATATATATATATATGTATGTATATATATGTATATATATGTATATATATATATATATATATATATATATATATATATATATAAATATATATATATATATATATATATATATATATGTATATATATATGTATATATATGTTTATATGTATATAGTATATATATATATATACATATATATATATATATATATATATATATATATATATATATATATGTATATGTATATGTATATATATATATATATATATATATATATATATATATATATATATATATCCTCCCAGAGGGAACAATAGCAGACGTTGAGGACAGTTACAAGTATCTCGGTATACCACAGGCAAATGGCAACCTCGAACAGGTGACGAGGAAAGCGGCAACTGCCAAATACCTCCAGCGAGTAAGGCAGGTCCTAAGAAGCCGGCTCAATGGCAAGAACAAGGCCCGGGCAATTAACAGCTACGCCCTGCCAGTGATCAGATACCCTGCAGGAATAATCAGGTGGCCAAAGGAAGAGATTCAGACCACGGATGTTAAAACTCGAAAGCTCCTTACCATGCATGGCGGGTTCCATCCCAAATCCAGCACCCTGAGACTGTACGTAAGCCGTAAAGAAGGAGGCCGAGGACTAGTGAGTGTGAGAGCCACTGTCCAGGACGAAACATCCAAACTCCATAACTACATCATGGAGAAGGCCAAAACGGATGACGTACTCAGTGAATGTCTCAGGCAGTGGCGAGATGAGGAGGTGCTGGAGGAGAGCCCATCATGGGAGAACAAGCCCCTACACGGCATGTACCACCGGAGCATAACAGAAGTGGCTGATCTCAAGAAGTCCTACCAATGGCTAGAAAGGGCTGGCCTACAGGACAGCACAGAGGCACTCATCATGGCTGCACAGGAACAGGCCCTGAGCACCAGAGCGATAGAGGCCCAGATATACCACACCAGACAAGACCCAAGGTGTCGGTTGTGCAAAGAGGCACCTGAGACGATCCAACACATAACTGCAGGGTGCAAGATGCTGGCAGGGAAGGCCTACATGGAACGCCATAACCAAGTGGCTGGCATAGTGTACAGAAACATCTGTGGAGAGTATGGGCTGGAAACCCCAAGGTCTAAGTGGGAAACTCCTCCAAAGGTGGTGGAGAATGAGCGTGCGAAGATCCTGTGGGACTTCCAGATACAGACCGACCGAATGGTAATGGCAAACCAACCTGACATCGTGGTGGTAGACAAAGGGCAGAGGACAGCCGTGGTGGTGGACGTGGCAATTCCAAGCGATGGTAACATCCGGAAAAAAGAACATGAAAAGCTTGAGAAATACCAAGGTCTCAGAGAGGAGCTGGAGAGGGCCTGGAGGGTAAAGGTGACAGTAGTGCCCGTGGTGATCGGTGCACTCGGGGCAGTGACCCCGAAGCTAGATGAGTGGTTACAGCGGATCCCTGGAACAACCTCGGACATCTCGGTCCAGAAATGTGCAGTGCTAGGAACAGCAAAGATACTGCGCAGAACCCTCAAGCTCCCTGGCCTCTGGTAGAGGACCCGAGCTTAGAGAGGGATAACCGCCCGCGGAGGGCCAAAGGTGAGTGGACAATTTATATATATATATATATATATATATATATATAGGAACAGTTGAAGGAACCCCCCTTAATAGGACTTTAATCATTTCACTGTGTACTAGAGCAGGAGCAAAGCCATTCCTCAAAAATTCCACGGATTTATCAGTGTCTGGGCACGTGCCGTCGCGTGCAGGTCACAATCTCCGGGTTGCATTATTATGCAAGTATGAGTATAATTTTTTGTGTTTCAAAATCACATATGGTAATGTAGCAAGCGACAAATGCAGTGTTTTTTTGTTTTTTTGTGAGAACGAATTGGCTTGTAGTTCTGGTGTGCACACATTTTTTTGTGGCCTATGGTATGAGATAAGGCCAAAAGCAGACCCCAACCCCAGAAATAAGATGATATTTCCAACCTTCTTTTAGTGACTCATTAACTGTGTCATGATTTACGATAAATTACTCATTCTAACAATGATTGATGGACAAAAGGTCATTGACGTAGATGCTCTTATATTCTAAACTACGGATAAAAGTGTATTTACCGTTTTAAAGTTTGACTCTTCAATTAGCATTTTTCACACTGGAGGAACCTGTTTCTGTTCCAGGTTTGTTCAGTTTTTCCTGGTTTGAGCTCATTCACACACATTGTGGAATGTTGCAATTCAGAATGTCCACCAAAACTCACTTTATCTACTTATTATCCAGCCCTATATGTATACAACTTTACACTATATGTGTAATATATTACATGTATATTATAGGCCCTATATATATTGCATGTATATTATAGGGCTCAGAGAGAAGCTGGAGAGGCCCTGGAGGGTAAAGGTGACAGTAGTGCCCGAGGTGATCGGTGCACTCGGGGCAATGACCCCGAAGCTGGAGGAGTGTTTACACCAGATGGAACAACTTTAAAATTCTTGGTCCAGAAATGTGCAGTGCTAGGAACAGCAAAGATACTGCGCAGAACCCTCAAACTCCCAGGCCTCTGGAAGATGACCCAAGCTAAGAGAGGGATAACCGCCCGCGGAGGGCGAAAGGTAGCAAAGTGCTCTGTATGTGTGCTGCAACATTGAAATTTCCCCATTGTAGGACGAATGAAGGTTCTCTTATCTAATTCATTTCTACTTCTACTTCTAAATCTGAGTTTGAGTTTTTTTCTAGTTATCAGAATAAACCTAGTCTACATTAAAGCCAGAGTACATTAATATGAGACAAAAAAAATAAACAAACTTTAAATCGCTTACAAAAAGAGATTATAAGCTCCCAGCATGTTGTTTAGAGATTTGTACAAAAAATATTACTTACATGATACTCTTTCTGTTATGACAAACATAATTTATTTATGATAAAACAAACAGCTGTAAACATGTTCTGTTAAATCCCTTGAAACTATTGTGTTGCATTTTTTACCCTACGTTTACCCATCAATCTTTGGATGGGTAAAAAATACAAGTTGTTTTTGATGTTGGGGGCGTGTCCTGTCTGATAGAGGCGTGTCTTCTTTTGTGGTGCATATTTAACTGTTGCAGAGAGGGGAGTACACCTGGTCAGTCATGGGTCGTCCTGGGATGCAGATGGAGACATGGGTGCTGTTTGTGGCCTTCGGGTGTATGTGTGTGGGGCAGGCTCTCGCAGATCTGTGAGTAACATTGAGAAATAGCTGCAACACAGTGACGATAACAAATATATATTCTATGCTCAGTTTTGCCTTAATTTGATATTTAAATGTAAATGTTTGTCACTAGAAAAGTCATTGCATTCATAATTTGCATAAAGTCATGTATATGCTAATTTTACCCAGAAATGAACCCAGCAAATTATGATATCAAAGTTACAATATAAAAATAAAAGAAACTGGCATGAAGGATAATAAAATACTTAGATGTATTGTCAATATGCTTTTGAATTTCTCTTCACGTAAATTGTAATTTTCTTTCATGAGTAGTTTTATTAATTCAGCACCATTTTCATTTCTAATGTAGCTTGATTTGGAGTTTGCACCATCTCTTTGTCTGCAGATTGTACTTTGTCCCAGTCCCGGCTGTGTGGGAGTCTGGAGCTCAGGTCAGGTTTTGTGCGAGTCTTTTGAAAGTGGATAAAAATGACAAGCATAAGATGACCGTGACGCTGCTGTCCCCGGAGCTCAACACCACCCTCCTGCAGAAAGAGTCCAACCAGGATTTTCATACCTGTAGCACCTTCCTGGTATAAACATTTTTCATTTATTGGGACTTAAAACGTGTAATGCTGTGAAGTACTTGGGTCTTCAAGGCTTGAATCAAATATATTTCTATAGTTAAGTATTAGCAGTATTTGAACAACACTATAAGGTGGGACTTTATGTATTTATTTATAAAACCCCAGTCAACTAGTTTTTGACTAGTTTTTGATGTTGCTTGTATATGAATCCTAATGATAAACAGAATGTATCATAAACTGTCTTGTAACTTTCTACACTGCTATCTCAGAAGCCACTGGTCACAAAAACCTGTCCGGGCTTGTTTTCTAATTAGGCCCAAACCCCAACTGGGCGTACGACTTATTTTTCCCTAAAGAGTAATTTCTCAGTGAAACCTGTATGACATTTAGGCATAACCCACGAAACACATAATCATCATGTGAAGATGCACAAAAAAGTGATTATGGCCACACCCGCTGACAACCCGCTGAGCTCATCATTTGAATTGAATGTGAAAAACTGAAGATTAGCCATTTAAAACATCCCTTTCTATACGTGTCACAGACAGGGCACAAAATCACCACATTCAACGTGTGGAGAGAATTGGTATGATTGAGAGATTGAGAATTATCTTTTTTATTTTATTTTGTCTTTTTAAAAGTCTAATTCAAGTTTCATTCACTTCCCGGGTACTAGGTCACCTAAATGCATAAGAACAGCTGACTCAAAATAATTGCAGTAACAGTAGTCTTGAGTTAAGTCTACTCACTTCAACTAATGAAACCTTACTCTTCCTAACAAACTACATTGAAGCAAGGTAAATCAAAGGGATTTACATACATTTATTTATTTATCAAAAAACAAAAAAAATATATAAAAAAACATGGACACACATCAGTCACTCAGAAATGGTTTTGTTGGACTGTTGTCTCTGTGTGTTCTCCAGGCCCCTCTGGTCATAAAGGACACGGTGCAGCACTTCCAGGTGGAGGTGATCGGGAAAAAGATGTACTCCCGGGAAACTCGCAAAGTTCTGATCCGTGCCAATAAACCAGTGACATTCATCCAGACAGACAAGCCAATCTTCCTCCCAGGACAAACTGGTAATTTTGTAAATTTCACAGCACCAAAAGATACTGTATCTATCTGCATAAGAACATTCTGGAGGAGTCAAACAAGGCAAAGATAAGAAAACAAAAAGATAAGAAAAAAGGACAGAATAGTAACATTTGTAACACTTTATAAGTTAGCAAAAAATACAGAGTGTGCCATGAATTGATCTTGATTCACATATATCTACTTTAATTGCTGGAATTTCCTATTGGTGAAACAACATTGTGACGTTCTATGAAACAGCTGTTGTTGAAATTTGTGGCTATACAACAGATTGTGATTTCCAGGGGATGCTCCAAACTCATTATGTGAATGTTATTAGTGCATTTTGATTTATCGTACAGAGAGTAATTACTGGTGACACAATTAAAAACAATGTGTCTAGAAGCAGTGATCTTTTTGTTAAAATAACCAGCTAAAATGCTGTTGAATTATCTTAATTTTTTCAACCTTTTTCAATTTACAAATCAAATCCACCGCAAACCTCATGTTGGGGTCTTTTTCCTTCTCAGTGTATTTCAGGGTGGTGACAATGGACACAAAGCTGAGGCCGGCCTGTCGAAAGGTGAGTGACTCCATTGATTTGATCGAGCCACAGTGACCTGGACCTGTTGCATCAGATCCATTTGCACAGTGAATACAGAACCTCAGGGTCACACCTCCCACACTTAAAGTTACATCATTTTGAGGTTATTTTGATTTCTTTCCCCTTCTTACAAACCTTGTGATATGATTGCTAGGTCCCACAAGCTGTAGGTAACCTCTGAAAATTGTGTGTGTGTGTGTAGTGTGTGCATGCATGTTTGTGTATGGTTTTCAACGTGTTCATATTGAACATGATTTCCGATTGATGCGTTACTTAGATATATTGTGATGATTTACTTTTTCTTCAGAGATTGGGGTGGGGTCCAATAAGTTACACTTCTCCCCACTCCCTTTCAAGCATCAGTGTGTAGGTTACCGTTATGTCTTCTTTCTTGTTTTTTTCTCAGAATACTATTTGCTTGAAATAAATAAATAGATACAAATAAATAAACAGCGAAAAAATTGCTTTTCTCTTTGAAGTATGATTGTATCTTTAAGTTGTTTTTCAGACTGTTTCTCAAATGTTGATATGTTCTTTTTCTTTTCTTTTGTTTCAGTATGATATCATCGAACTTCAGGTAAGTCTTTTGTATCAAGCATAACTATTCCAACTCTTTTCTATATAGTCTTTTATTAAAATATAGATGAAACTAATACAAGACTCTTTTTTACTTGTTTTCCAGGATCCACATGGTAACCGCATTGGGCAGTGGCTGAATCTCACTGCGGAGGGTAAAATAGTGCAGCGGTCTTTCGCCCTGAATTTTGAGGCCAAAGAAGGCAGTTACCAGCTCTCAGTGACCTCTGGAGAAGACACAATCTACCATTCATTCAAGGTGGAGAAATATGGTATGTTTAGTTTAATTATTTTTTCATTATGGAGGATTATACTTTGTACAAAACATCTTTTCAAATAGCACAGAATTACACATAGTTAAACATTCCACATGGTTCTAAAGACCTTATTTTTTCACTCAAAGAGGTATTTAACTTAAATCATACGTTTTCTGAGTCTCTCTTTATTGTCCTGCATTTGAAGTACTAAAAAAAATTCTATATTCACCTATCCCCTGTCAAAGTCAAAGTTAAGTTTATTTATTACACACATTTACAACTTAAAGAGCACAATGTGTCGTACGCTTCACACAAAACACTAGTACATGTAAAGCACAATAACACAGAAAAATTCAAATAACCACATAAGAAGTGCTCCAAACAAAATCCATAGTCACCGAACACCTTTGATTCATTTAAATCATTGAGAAGCAACATCATTTATGGCCAACTACTAAATGCAACTATTTGTAACCCCCAGTTTTACCAAAGTTTGACGTCAAAATCACCTCGAAGGATGAAGTGAGCATTGCCCAGGAGGAAATCAGTATAAAAGCTTGTGCAGAGTAAGTTCAGTAAACTCAAATTATTTAAATGATTTATGAATGTTTATGATTGCAACACATCCCTCTCTTTAGATACACTTACAAGCAGCCTGTTCCCGGGATAGTGAAAATAGATGTATGCAGACCCATCAACAGATACATATTTGGGTTCTCTCGAAACGAGGATGACGTTCCATCTGTGACTGCTCCATGCCACAAGGAGAGCAAAACGGTACAATGTCATTCTTACATAGAAACAAACAAGAAATAATAAGCAGAGTGCAAAATGATGAGTGGTTTAATCTAACAGTGTAATCTGTGTTTTCTCTTAGGCCGACGCGACTGGGTGTGCTGTGTTTACTATCCCAATGTCCACTTTCAAAGAAATTGACCAAAAGGCTCTCCTGGACACACTGGAGGTTGTGGTAGACATGGAGGAGGAGGGAAAACAGGTACGGTTTGCTTTGCTTAAATGTACACTACCACTACTACTAAGATTCTATTTATGCCGAAGATGTATGGGGAAGACTTGAACCATATTTATCGACCAGCAGATGGCAACATTGCTCTCTTAATGGTTTTTGAAAAGCATTTGTATAGGTGCACAGGTTGTGCCTCATTTTTCTCAACTTGCTGAGTGTTTCTGTGTTGAAGTTCCGTAAAACTACCCTCGATATCGACGGGTGGATTACAGGGAACGATAAAGCTATAAAAAAAATTCTTGTGGAGCTGAAAAGTTAACAGCATTTTCTTGGAAGATATCTGGGGGTCGGATTTTCTATGTTCATAGTACACATATATTCTGTGGGTCCTGGAAAAATCAGTAAAAATCTCAGAAATGTGCTGTGATACTGTGGATACCTGTTCGTGAAATTAGGCCTGGAGCATTCAATGAGTTTAATAAAGCATATTAGTGAAAAAGGCATCATAATTAATACGTGTTTTTCTTTTGAAACAGATTTGACACACCCCACATTCTTCCAGGAACATTTTCATTTGTAATCTCGGTACAAATTCATGATAAAAAAAAATATATGTTGTCTTCCCGATTAGGATTATGATTAAAAATAATAATATGCTTAGGGTGATGTGTTATTAAGAAAATTTCTTAATCGAAAACAGCCAATTTAAGTTATTTATATTTTGAACAACGAACATTCGAAGACCTCCAGAAGAAAAAGTTACATTATTTCAATAGGACCGGTCAAAATAGGTGCCGGGCCTTCTAAGATCTGCTGGACCCTTCTCTGGATTCATGCTGCCCCTTACCTCGTGCCCACTGATGTTGGCCTTTTTTTAAATCGATGCTCAAAATGTATTTTTTCCAGAAGTACTCTTCACACCAAGTTCAAGCTTTTGGTAAGCTGTTTTAATGTGGTGTACATGCAATAAATGTTTTATATGGATTGTAATGTGAGTGAAATAGGCCTCTATAATATGAACTGATATAGATAAAATAGTAAAGGATTGCTGGATCAATCTTAACAAGTTCCACAAATTGTGAATTGGGGGCAAAGGGAGCAAGAACTATCTTGATTTTAAAGTGATCAGTACAATGTTGGTAGTGGACGTGAAAATAGTGGGTAGATGTGCTGTCCGTCTATTGAAAGCGCAGTGACATGAGTCTGGAGGCATGCTGTGAGAGGGATGTTTACATGTTAGAAAGTTCAGTATCCCAGCTTTAATACGGCCCTACTTTTATGTGTCACAGGGATTCACTAATCACACAACATAAAAGAGTTAACCAGTTCATCAACGTCGCTGGAACGCTGTCCTTTTTCGAACACACGCCCAACATTTAGGGATGAAAGATTGCCACGCTACAGGGTAATAGGAAGAATCTTGGAATTATATTATCACTGCCACAACGTGAATATAATTGAATAGTTTAGTAGCGCTCCAGTTAGTGTATATATAGGTGGAAAGGCCGTGGCCTAGAATGAGCAGGGCCGGTGGGTGAAACAAAGCCCTGGACCTGTTTGAGGAGGTAGCGCTGGTCAGTCACGGCATCTACAGAACCTCACCACATGAACAACAACGGAGTGGCAACATTTCTCCGCTAGACCACGGCCAGGCAGAGCAGCGGAAGAAATCCAACCTCCACGTAGAGCGTTCTGACCTGATACTGGTTAGTAGGGCCGACGAATGGACCAAGGCCTGACATCACCATTGGAAGTGTTGGGCCAAATGCTAGGTTCAGAAGCCGAGTGTTAACATACTTTAGCTGGAGGCCAATTCTTTAGACGGCCATTTGTTCCAAGGGGAAAGCTTCATGCCGTAAACGAGAGGACTCGATGTGGGATGGTAAATTGCATATCTCGAGCCATATTAGGAATGACCAAAGAAGACAATACACATATCAACCACATATAGAGCGCCCTCAACCACTGATGCTTGTACAGCTGCAAAATGGTGAGTGTGACTCTCAACTGGTGCTAGTAGAGTTTAATTTCGTCATGTATGTCAATAGGAACCAAAGCGAGTTGAGCAATATACATTTTTTGGGGTTTTTTTTTGCTTCAGGAGCACCTTCCCTATTTGGCTGCATTGAGTTAGTGAGGTGTTAGTAACTGTCCATGCTAGATACTGTCTATCTAATCGTACGGTTATACACCAGCTATCCCAGAAAATTAATAGAAAAACTTTGAACAAAAGTTGCGAATTGGAAAACAAGGTTGTCTTATTTATTAAATAGTTATTATTCTGTAGTGTAAACCAGTGTGTTTGGTTAGCATAGAAAAAGAAACAAATTTATAGACCCTGGAAGTGACGCTTAAGGTCCTAAACGTTTTGTTTAAACACACGAATAAGTAATTCCGCCGTAGTTGGAGTACCCCAGAATACAGAAGAAGAACTCACTATGGAGAATGAGTAAAACCGTGTGGCCTTTAGCCCCGACAGGCCTACTCTTGGCCACCAAGAAACTGAGTAGCTCCCGGGAGGGGCTAGAATAACTCTGGCGCCGTGCCCCGGTGACACGAGACAGGACAGTCTTCATCAACTACTCGGGGGGTCAAAGAGATGGAGGCAGAGATGGACAGTCATGTACCTGTGAGACTCTCATGGTTTTACTGTTGTGATGCAAAGTGTAGTGGAATTTCTACTTTAGTGTAGTGTCGGCAACACTACTTGGTTTTGTGAGAATAGTGCGACAGGATGAAACGAGGCCGTTGCTGTCAATCTGGAAGAACTCAAAGACAAAATGTCAGTTTTGAATGATTTTTAATTGACTAGGAGTTTGCGTCCTAGCCCCCGTAGCGGCAATTAGGGCCGACGAGCTCCGGCGGATTGCGCGCCCGATCCCCCCAGGCATATGTTCTGGGGGGAGGCAAATTAGAGCACAGTAAAGAGCGCACGGCTGTGAGCAAGGAGAGAGAGCGAGAGGGAGCGGTGTTTGCGATGCTGAGAAGGCCGTAAATGGGAGTGCTCCACGTGTAAGCTGCTTGCCTGGCCTCGTTGGCTGGGAAATGGAGCGTTTGCGGCCGTAGCCCAGAGGATGTGAGTCAGCTTTGGTGAAACTTTGGTAAATCATCCTACCAAGAGGAACCATCGCGACTTGCCAATTCTGATGTCGGCTCTTTTTCGGATGGTGACAACGTTGCCTCCTAACAAGTGGGCTCAGATATTCTCTCTAACAGTCTAAGAGCAAAAACATTTGGGAGGAGTTGTCACTAGTGCAAAACAGTTTCATGATAGATCGAGCCTATAAAACCCTGCGACAACATTGGATTTCCAGACAATGGAAACACATAATATCATCAGCCTACACAGAACTACGCAAACAGACTTAATGTCTACCATGAAGGCAAATAAATTAGTCTGTCTGGCCCACTGTTTTCCAACACAACCCAACCGATGCTTCACATATTCCGTCCAGGTCTATGTGGCAGAGATACCAATTGTGACCCATGGGCTGAAAAGAATTCAAGTAAAACCCAAACACAGGTAAATAAATGTAAGATCGTTGGACACACGCTGAAAATGAAACATGCGGTGATACAGTAAATGTGCTCTGTATGTTCATGTGACTGGAGGGCAAGCTTCGCCTTCAAGTTACAAATTACAGCAGAATTTGGGCCCCATGTGTTTATAGTTGGTGGACCTAGCGCTCATCCTGCCCAGCCCAATAGCCCTCTCCCCATCGCTCAACAGCGCCACATTTGGAGACAGAGACAATGTTACATACCACAAGGGTCAGTAAAATATAACATGAAAGATTAGTTCTGCAGCAAGTACAACACCAATCCAATATCTTTAGCTTGTTAGATCTGCTTGATTCAAGTGGTCATAGCATCATCTAGTAATGAAAAAGAGATGAAGTTACTGTTTGCTTGATAAATAGATCTTGCTTACATATTTTTCCACTTATATAATCTTTTTGGGAATCAAAGACCAGATACATAAACACGATACTGTAGAGCTCCTGCATTGCTAGTTGACAGGGATGTGTGTATAACACAGTAAGCCTTGACTTTTCACAAAACATTATTATGCAGGCATACAGCTTTTGCAAAATAATGTACAAAGTGATGTTCACCAGTTGTGCCAGGTATTCTAGAGATTATCACGTTGTTGATGGTGACAGTGGTGTAGAAGGACGACTACTCGCCATGGGATATAATTTGCAAAGATATTGTGATTGGACAAATGATTGACCTATTACAACGTTTCATTTGGTGTGTTGTAAATCAATCTTTATATTATTATCTATATTTTTTATCAAGGTATCTCCCCCTTGAATGAACCGATCCTCCTATTTCCCGGAGGGGGGTCCCTAGTAATTTCTTTGACAGAGATAATGTGGCATTAAATAAGAACATTTCTGTAAATGCACCAGAATTAAGCCAAGAACGCTTACGTTTGTCATTCTGCACACTCTAGTTATCATCAAAGTCTAAAGAAGACACACACAATTCTAATGGTCATGTATGTTTGGTGGTGTCCATGAAAAGCTGGGACTGTTACCCAACCCAGCTCAGTGCGTCCCGGAAAAAAGGCGTATCGCTGCGGGTTGACGGCAAGTGCCTTAGCCTGTTTGAAGAAGCGTCATCGACCCTGATCTTGAACATGAAGATGGAGGACGCTGTGGATGTAGTTCATAGAATGGGAAAGAGAGAAGAACCACCGGCTTAAAGGACAAGACAAGTTATGGGAAAGAGAGAAGAACCACCGGACAAGTGTTTGCGTTTCAGAAGGAGTGAAGGAAGAGGTCTGGAGAAGAAGCAAAGATTCTGTAACCTGCAGAGATGAGGGAATCAGCTTCACGCCCTGATGATGTGGCTCAGGAAGAATTTGGAGGAGCGGCGGCGTCTTTGGCCACGGATTGAACAGGCCCGCAGAGCTGGTAAACGGCCTTTTTAGAGGGCCTAACGTATACATTGATGGACGTCGTGTGGAAGAAAAAGACAGACAGAAGATTAGGTATTGATAAGAATTTTGGTGTGGACTTTTGTGTGGTCTGAGAGCTCTAAAGCTATGTTTTTTTTTTAGTTTCGCTTTCACACTTTTACTCTTTTTGTTCTCTTTCTACTTAGAAGGGTGTGTAGTTCATGTTAGATTCTAATTATTGTTTGGTTCTTTAAATGTTAGGGGCTTAAAAGAACTTGTTAAACGAAAAGCTTTGTTTTTATTTTGTAAAGGGCAAAGATGTCACTGCTTATTTTTGCAAGAAACTCATTCCTCAGATGTGGACTCAGATGGAAGGCCGCAATTTAATAGGATTATCAATGATTTTATGGCTAATAATGAGTTATTTGACATTTGGAGAGAAATCAATCCAGGTGTCAAATATTTCTCGTGGTTTAAACCAAATGGAGCGTGCAAATCTCGGCTCGACTATTGGTTAGCCAGTAATCATATACTTAACTCTGCTACTAAAACGACAATGTCCAAAGCTCCTTTATCAGATCATAGTTTTATAGATCTCACTTTGGAACCTTCCAGAGCAAAGAAAACACTTAAAGGATATTGGAAATTGAATGCACAGTTATTAGAAAATGAAGAATATTGCTTTCGTGTAAAAGAAATTATTACTGATATTAAAAATGATAAATCTATTCGTGGACATATTAATAAATGGGAATATATCAAATTTAGAATCAGGGAAATGAGTATTACATTTAGTAAGATGTTAGATAAGAAGAAAAAAGACTATGAAACAAACTTATTTCAGCAAATACATCAATGCTGTAGCAAAACCAATCTAACCCCTGATGATAAAAGTAAATTAATGGAACTGCAAAATAAATTGGATAAACTTTACCTTGACAAAGCACAAGGCGCTTATGTTAGATCGCGTGCTAAGTGGATAGAAGCTGGTGAAAAAAACTCGTCTTATTTCTTTAATCTGGAAAAAAGAAGGCAGCAAAGAAACTGCGTCTCAAGCCTAATCATAAATGGTACTGAAAGTAAAGATCCAAAAACAATTGAAAATGAAGTTTATTTGTTTTACTCCAAATTATTCTCTTCTCAATTTTCAGAGGAAGACTGCAATAACCTGTTTAAAGCTCACAATCACTTAATACCCCAGATTGATGACAATTTTAAAGATATTTGTGAATCAGAATTAAAAATTGAAGAACTTGATGCTTCGATTAAAAGAATGGCCTTTAACAAATCTCCAGGTACAGACGGCTTAACAGTTAACTTTTACAGAAAGTTTTGGGATGATGTGAGAGTCATTTTATTTGAAGCCTTAAAAGAATGCATTGAGAGAAAAGAACTGATATCAAGCATGAAACAGGGAGTAATAACACTAATACCAAAACCAGGAAAAGATAAGAGACAACTTGATAATCTACGGCCAATTACTTTACTTAACACTGATTATAAGATCTTTTCTGGGTCAGTTGCAGAAAGACTTAAAAAAGGATTATCAGAAATCATAAGCGAAACGCAATCTGGCTTTCTAAAAAGTAGAGCTATTCACAATAATATCAGACTGGTACTGGATATAATTGATTATTCAGATTCTTTAGATCAAAATGGTTTTATACTATTTCTTGATTTTTATAAGGCATTTGATTCTGTTGAACACGCATTCATTTTAAAAACATTAAATAACTTTGGATTTGGAGAAAGATTCAACAATATAATTGGGATGTTATATAAGGACATAAACAGTTCAGTTTCTTTGGGACAAGGTACATGTAAAAGATTCAATATTGAAAAAGGCATACGCCAGGGCTGTGGATGCTCTCCACTGTTATTCATAATTGTTGCTGAGGTGTTGGCTATCTTAATTAAGAACAGTGGCATAGCTGGAATTGACGTAATGGGCAGACAGGTTATAATTAGTCAATTGGCTGACGATACAACGCTGTTTTTGAGTGATGAAAATCAAATTACTTTAGCTCTACAAACTATAAATGTCTTCTCAAAGGCCTCTGGGCTGCAACTTAACATGAAAAAATGTGAATTATTTGCATTGAACGATCACCAGTCACAGCAATTATACAATATAGATCTGAAGAAAGAAGTTAAGTATTTAGGTATTGTTATAACACGAGACAAAACTCGCTCTGAGAAACTTAACATTTTGGACAATATTGACACTTGTAAATCGTTCTTAAATAGGTGGTTACAAAGGGATCTATCCATATTTGGTCGTATTTTGTTAACAAAAATGGACAGTCTGTCCAGGCTGATCTATCCTGCTTATTCATTATCCATACCCCCAAAAATGATTAAAAGTATAAATAGATTAAACTTTAATTTCATTTGGAAAAATAAATGTCATTATATAGCTAAACATGATTTGATTAGATCTTATGAGGATGGAGGTGGAAATGCAATTGATTTTGACATTATGAATGGTATGTTGAAGATTAAGTGGCTGAAAATGTCTGTACAACATTCTTGCTCTATCTGGTCTTATATTCCCCAATTTGATATTCAAAAAGTTAGGTGGTCTTAATTTTCTCTTAAAATGTGATTTTGATTTGACAAAACTTCCAGTGAAACTTTCAGAATTCTACCAACAGGTCCTTCTGTATTGGAAACTCATCTTCAAACACAATTTCACCCCACACAATTCACCAATTTGGAACAACCGATATGTGTTGGTGAACAGAAAGTCCATTTTTATTGAAGAATGGTTCTCTAAAGGTGTTTGGGCTATCTCTCATTTTATGGATGAAGAAGGCAATTTACTACAACATGGTGAATTCTGCAATAAGTTTCAGATCCAATGTACACTAAGGAAATATAAACAAATTCTTAAAGCTCTTCCGCAATCGCTCTGTAATATGGTTAAACAAGACCTCATTCATTCCAATGTTGTCCCGAACATGAGGAGACTATTCATTGATGGTATCGATTTTACTGACGTTAAATGTAACAACAAATTCCTTCGATCCTGCCTATTCAATAACTTGGTTACTAATTCTCTCAAACGAGATTATATTCTCAAAAATTATCAAAAGGAACAAATCAAAAAAAGATGCAATTATTTAAAATATCCTCTCCCTTTCAAGAGTAAAGAGATTCAATTCAAAATTATAAATAGGATTTATCCAACTAACAAATTCCTGAGGTGTAAATTTAAATTGGATGTGGACAAATGTGGATTCTGTCAGACGGTGACAGAAGATTTAGATCATTTATTTTTCTCTTGTGAATCTGTCCAGTTATTCTGGTTTGACTTTCAACAAGGGATACGGATCGAAGGAATTTTACTGCCAAGTTTAGTTATTCATGATGTAATGTTTGGTATTTCCTCTACTAATAGTTTAACTGAATATGGTGTTAATAATCTTATATTGTTAGCCAAACATTACATTCACAAGTGCCGTTTTTTTAAAACCATCCCGAACTACATTCATTGGAGGAATGAGTTCAAACTATTCTATACTTCACTCAATCTCATAAAATCTAAGAATGCTACTAAACTTTTATCATTTATTGACACATGCCCTTTACATTTACAGATGACAACAAACGTCTAAGTGTATGCCCTGGTTTTTGTTTTATTTTTTAGTTTGTCTTTTTTGTATTTGTATATCATGATTGTTATCGGTATTTTGAGGCATCTATTTTGTTTGTATTATGTTTAAATATATAATAAAAAATAAAAAAATAAAATAATTCAAAAAAAAAAAAAAACTAAGCTACATTTCGTCACTTCCTGGATGCGAGACACCAAAATGACAGCTGGTTTGTTTTCATCAACACGAGCCAAATAAAGTGGATATTTAAGGTGTGTACGCGGGTAACAGTGGTTGCTTTTTACTCTGAAAGATTGATATCCTTATTATAGATGTAGCTATATGCACTATTATGACAGGTATCCTGCTGTATTTATGGTTTTGTCTCGAGATTACGTTCGGTCAGCCGTGACTGATTCTGTTGCTGAGGATCGCTGCACCGTCTACTATAGAAAAAAACAAAAAACCTGTTATGTTTTTATTGGGATTAGTTTGTGCTTTTCTAATGTGTCTAATATGTAGCTTTTTATCGTAGCAGTTGTAGTTGTCGTTGTGGTATTGTTTTTTTTTTCCGGTCTTTTATTCTTTGGATTTGACCATAAAGCTATTTGTTCTTTCTTCACAGCGTTAATCTATTGAATGTCTATGGTGCAGTTGATCACATGTAATCATAACAATTATATTGTCATTTTAATCTCTTTTGGAAAAAGACTGGATTGTACATTTTGTCCCAATTAGAAAATATCTCATGTTTTTCTTATGATAGCCGATTTGTATGCTAAAACTTAAAGAATTTAGATCCAAAAGTACATTTAATGTTATATTTAATCAAATGTACGTCAAAGAGTAGTGACATGTTATTATCACAATTGTTGACTGGTGTGTACTGGATAGTGTTCTGTATTGTATTTATTTTTTTATTTAACATGCTTTGTTTTAGAAAAAAAAAAATCTAAATTAGTTGACCTTTAATAAATATAATCAGTATATTAGACAAAGCATAGTGTATTTATTATATTTAATAGAGGGGACTAAGCCCCCAATATATGTTTTTCTCTGAGTCAAAAGCCAGCTAAGCATATCGGCTTGTAGTATTAAAATTAAATCGATAGGATTTTCTGACCTACAACAACAAGAAATCTCCATAAACACTAAGTTATTTTAAATACTGTCATGGTTGCAGCAGTCATTTTTGCTTCATGCTTTTTGTCCTAACGTGCCCTTTTGTGTTGGTGTTGTATATCTATGCCATCAGCAATCATGCTATTCATAACTGCAGTATAGGTCAGATCATTTCTTGAAGAGCTCTAAAACTGACAACTAACAGGATATACAAGATTGTGACCTTGTTCACAAAGGCACAACATTTTTATTGATTTTGGTAAATGAATAACTTTACCATCCATTCACCCAGCCTGTTTTTGCTTATAGTTTCAAGTACTGGATCAAGTTTATTCCTGTCTCTTTTCGCGTGGATCAGTGCGGCCAATCACCCGCCAATCTGGAGTAAGTAAATGCACCAAATACTTTGACAAATATGAAATTGAATAAAACATGCAACCTTTTCATTACAGGACCCATTTGAGAGGGAACAGGATACATTAAGTGGTCACTGTGGTTAAGGATGATCTCTTTAGGTAAGGCACTTGTTTCTGTCAATACATCACATAATGTACAGCTTAGAAATGTTTCTTAGTAGTAGCTCTTTACATTATGGGGTATATATTTGTGTACACTAGCTTTTTCACGTAGTCTAGTGTCCCCATACACTTATACTTTTGAATGTTTGATAGAACCATAGTTCCCAGTATGAATTATCATAACAAATCAATGCTGCTTCGTAGAACTGTCAATAATCTGCACTGAAGTTTGTTGTTTTAAAAAGAACTGTAATCAGAAATACTACTGATGTTTTAATGGACTGCAGATCTGTATTTATTAATCTTGTGATTATTCTTTCATTTAACCCTTTGTTGTTTTATATCGCAAAGGCCCTTGAGTTTGATGTTTGCTCTGAATTTGATGATGAAACTTGAGGACATCTCGATGGCGTACATTTACAGACAAAAAGGTTCTTTACCAAAAACGTCAAATTTACTGTTTACTGTGTAGTATCTGCTGTGTGTCAATCTCGGCACACAGCTCACGTGTGTGGAGAGACCAGAAAATCATTGCTAAACCACCAAATTGGTTGACAATAAAATGGTCTCAAATCATTTAGTTTGTCTAAGGCCCTTATAAGTACTGCACTTTGTACCTTAAAATTTCTGAACTCACTGAAATCACTTACTGCACTGAAAATGAAAAAGCACTTTTGGCAGGGGTGTCAAACTAATTTTGTTCAGGGGCCGCATAATAAAATGAGCTGATTGTGGGCTGGAAGTTTACCAGTGTATCCATTGCATCTAATTTTTATTTCTTGTTACATTGATTTTTTGCATCGTAGATCACTTTTAGTTAAGATGAGTTTGGATATTAATTTCTGATAGAATTTTGCAAACAAAATGCATTCAAATTCAGTCATGATTTGACCAAAAGTGGTCCAAAGGTAAGGAAATGCTGTTATTGCAGACTGCAAGGTCAATTATTTATTGTTCTTTTAACTATTACTATTTGTGTTTTCGTGTTTAAATGTATCTTTTTATTTTCTTTTTTTTTTTAAAGTGAAAGAACAGAATACAACACAAAAACAATAATACACTACTAAGTAGTGTAGTTCAGTCTCTGTGTGGCTCAGCTCACAAGGCATGTGTCCAAGCGTTGAGAGTACAGCACTCTGGGCATACACTGGACAATAACACAGCGAGCACTCTGTGCTCCAGAGCCAGACTCCAACACAAACAAGTTATGCATTTACATTTGTTATACATTTTCAGGCATCATTTGAACATACAGATCAAGCTGAAGTTTGCTTTAGGAGAGGCAATACCAAATCCAATTGTTTAGGGTGCTCTTTCTCAGATCCTTTAAACCAAGGGCAGCTTGTTCACTGTTTAGAATATCTTAAATTGTACAGTTGTTTTCTTGAGAGTATTAACTAGTTATGTTGGTAGCCTGTATTCAATTCTTACCATCATTGCATCAAGTTAATAATACATTAAGTAATTTTGGGAACCATTACAAATAGTATTGGGTCACATAATTGACACCCCTGGTTTCAGGATTATTTTATGCACTTTGTGATATTCCTTCAGGTCCCAACTTTCATAAATTCCAGATTTGAACCACACAATTCTATTAGGAAGCACAAACCAAATATAATGCATTGAGCACCACTGTGCGTTATAAAACTTTTTTTTTTTCATCTCCGCTGCGGAGCTCAGGGGCACAGCCATGGACTCACTGAGCGACACACACGGCCGCTCTTTCGTGGAAGTGATCGTGGAAAAGTACAGCCCTGAGAACTTCCCCTATCGCCGAGGCCCTGGGGTTGGTGTAGTCATAATCACCACACCTCAAGGCTCTCCCATGAAAGGTTTTTCTCTTTTGTGTTTATTTCTCAAAAACTTGTTGATGTTTAAAAGAATATTAAATGAATGAATGAATGCTTTATTTTTTTAATGATCTTTTCAATAATCCTACAGATCGTCTTAACTTGCCGAGAGTGCTGGTGTTAGAAGGCTCTGGCATCAGTCGAGCTGGAGACCAAACAGAAATTGCAGCTTTCTGTGCACATGTGATGGAGCTGGACTTGTCCCACAACAATCTGCAGGACATCTGAGGACTTGTGAGAAGTATTTAGATACTGTAGAAAACACTTAACTGGGGATGGGAATCTATGCAGTGAATTTTGTGAAGTGAAGAAGCTATTATCATATTATAAGACACATCTGCAGAGGATCTGATTATGGATATAGGTTCAGTATATACATAAGTACCTCAGCGGGGATGTTCAGAATTCTTTGTTCAGTTTTCATGAAGTTCCAGAGCCTATAAAGGCTTGATTCGGAGGCTCCGTGAAAACAAACAACTGGGAATGCGCGCAGCTGCGAGCATCAGCGCCGATGATTGACAGCCCTTGGCATGACTCGATTGGTTAACGTGGACGGCATCGTGGATTCTGAGCTATAGCTAAGAGAAGGGAAGGCAGGACTTGCCAGTAATATTAGAATTAATAAAATGACTTATTTTATATCAACATTTAAGGCCAGGAGGCCAATATTACACATTTCCTTGTTTATTGTATTATTCTTTTCTGAAAGAAATGACAAGCGAAGTAACCACTGAGCTAAGCCAGTGCAAGGGAAGTACAGCTCAAAGGCTTTCATATATCTGAGTCAGCAGACAGCGCAGAGCAGACGTGCACTTTTTAATTGAACACATCCATCCTCCATCCATCCTCTACCCTTTAATCCATTTCTGGGTCAGGGGGGTGGCAATCAGAGATGCCACCCAAGTCTCATAGCACCAGCCCCTCACTGACCCTCTGCAGGTGGTGAGTCCACAGGAGGACGGCTGCTCTCTGAGTGTGAGCATAGCCTTGATCTTTCAGTGGGGGCTTCGGGCAAAGTGGGGTTAAGTGTCTTGCCCAAGGACACAACGACAGCAGTCATCAGTGGGAGTCGGTGGAGACGGTGTAGAGGTGGGAATTGAACACATATCAAATCAAAATCATCATCAAATCAAATTTTATTTATGAAGCGCTTTTCATACAAAAGATGCAACACAAAGTGCTTTACAAAAAAAAAAACAATCCCGCCGGCCCATGTCCCCTCCCCCCGACCACCCAACAGACCCATCCCAAACCACAGACAAACACACACACGCTGCCATGCACACTCTCTGACACACACACACACACACACACACACACAAAACAGTAAAACAATGATGAGAGACTTGGCAGGGTTCGGATGCAACCAGTTGAAAAAGCGTCATCCTAGGAGCCGTCTGCACCAGGAGCAGAGAGCCGCCTGTAGCCACAGGGGACGATACAGGATCTAGAGGAGACCCGAAACCGAGGCCCCAGGCCCCCACCAGGTCCAAGAGTCCGACCCCCACAGCCATGCCCACCACCGCTCCCAGTGCAGAGGGCTCCTCCAGAGGAAACACTGGGTACACTAAAAACAATACAATAACAATACAATATGTAAAACACAAAAATGTGAAACTAAAATGAACTAACACACAATACATGAATAAAAGCAATAGCAATACAATAAATAATAGAAGATAAATAGAATATATAAAATGAAATAGTAAAAACTAATCAAAAGCTAATCTAAAAAGGTGTGTCTTGAGCCTGCTTTTAAAAATATGAACGTTCTCTGCGGCCCTGAGCTCCTCTGGCAGACTGTTCCAGAGACGGGGGCCGTAGTGCTGGAAAGATGCCTCACCGTGAGTGTGTGTCCTGACTTTGGGGATAGTTAGGAGTCTGCTGCCGGAGGAGCGCAGGGGCCGGGAAGGCTCATAGGATAAAAGCAAATCTGAAAGATAAGAAGGCCCAAGACCATTAAGACATTTAAAAACTATTAAAAGAACCTTAAAATCGATCCTGAAACACACGGGGAGCCAATGCAGCGATTTTAAAACCGGTGTAATGATTTCTATTTTTTATAGAAGCCCGTTTCCGCCATGTAAAAGAAAAAAGGCCTACAGAAAGTCAACATTTTTAGTTTTAAACTCAAAATTGTCTGGAACGGTCTCTGGTCATCCTTCACCTGCAGGTTATGAGAAGACGACTTCTTATTTCGACATAGTAACAAATAATGTGAGCAATATGCCCTGAAGAAGGCCAGAAGGCTGAAACGCGTAGGCGTAATTTTAACCTCTTTTTGCCATGTCAAATAAAGGCTTTTAAAGATTTTTGTAACTTTTGAGTGCCTCAGTCTTCTGTCAGAACTATCAACATTGGTCCCTCCACTGAAGAGCACCAAAAGTTTACTTTTTTCCTCACTTTTTTCCTCATTTCATTTTTACATCCAAGAAGCACTCCAGCCCCGTCTACTGTTTTAAAAAATGTGAGCAATATGTTCTTATAATAAATCAAAGGAAAATGAGCCATCGAGACATTCCACTCTACCAGACGATGACACTGAGAGGGGTCCACACGGAGCGAGTCTTTCCACGGCTGAAAGGTTGCGCTTTCTACGTGTTGAGTATTAATAGTTACTTATGTAACTTAAGATCTACGAATAGGTGCGTAGTCCCTTAGGACTTCGCTAGTGGGATATCACGTGACCCCCAGGTCAAACGCCAGAGAGTTCAATTATATATAAATATGCTCCAATCACTAGCGACCCTCCTCTATAAAAGCCCCTGCACAAGGCCGCGCCCCCTCTTGAACTCTGTCAAGCCGGGCTGGCCTGATGGGCTCGTAGCTAAGGGACTACGCACCTATTCGTACAACTTAAGTTACATAAGTAACTATTAATTCTACGTCATGGTGCTACGTCCCTTACGACTTCGCTAGTGGGACACAACACGGAGGCCGTAGGAACATGTACTCCCAGCAGGCCAGCGAAGAGTGATTGGAGCCCCGCCCGAGCAAGACTCTCACACAGTGAGAAGACTCAGGGCAGAAGAAAACCAATTGCGTGTTACTTGGGAGGCCAAGGACACCCCCAAGTAACACCAACCGAAAGTCACCCGTAGTCCCAGGACGCCTCTCCCAAGAGCTCCTGACGTGGACTACCTAACTGACCCAGAAAGCACACACACACCGCACCCGCAGGACGCCTCTCCTCCCTCGGACAAAACCAAACCGTAGACCCCCCAGATGAGGAAACTCATGGTTTCAACTCAATCCGCTGCACCAAGCACGGAATGGGCCACCGACCGGTCCGACACATCCAAAGGTAAGACCGGACGAAAGAGGAGGACGAAGCCCAAGAAGCCGCATGGCAAACGTCCTCGACCGAAGCCCCCCCGAGGAGGGCCACCCCACGCGTGGAGTGCGACCTGAAACCCACCGGGGGGCCCTGAGCCTGATACGCCAACCGCACAGCCGTGGCGACCCAGTGCGCCATTCGCTGAGACGACAGCGGGGCGCCCCTGTTCCTGGAGCCCAGATACACAAACAGCTGATCAACCAACCTGAAGGAAGATGTCATAGCCAGGTAACGCCTAAGCATTCTGACAGGACACAGAAGGTGCCGCCGCTCCTCCTCCGGCGAGGCATGCGGCGGCGGATGGAAAGCCCTAATCCTGATCACTCTCGACCTGAAGGCCGAAGTGATGACCTTAGGGAGAAAAGCCGGATTGGGCCACAACTCCACCAGACCGTCACCCCCTCCAAAGGACAGGCAAGACGCATGGACGGAGAGCGCACACAAGTCGCCCGCCCTCTTGGCAGACGCCAGCACCAGCAAGAGAGCAGTCTTAAAGCCACACACTCGGGACTCGCCTCCGACACCGGCTCAAAAGGCGGGCCCGAAAGACCCCTGAGGACCACCCTGAGGTCCCAAACCGGGGGCATTCTTTGAAGCGGGGGCTTCCTCCTGCGGGCCCCCCGCGAAAAGCGTTTGACAAACGGATGGGAACGGGCCGTGAACCCCCCGAAACCACCGTGACCCCGGCTCGTCCGGTAGGGCCCAAGGCTCCATCACCGCCATGCCCCTCAGGAAGTGGAACCACCGGGCATGTGGCCTGTCCAGAGCCACCAGGACCCCCGACCTCCCCTCCTGTTCGATCCTCCGCAGCAAGACCGGCAGGAGACGAACTGGTGGAAAAGCATACAGAAGGCCCCTGGCCATGGGTAGTGAGCCAGGGCGTCCACCCCTAGGGGCGGCCCGTCCGCGGGCCTTAAGGCGAACCAGGACGGACACTGTGCGTTCTCTGCACTGGCGAAAAGGTCGACCACTGGGCGGCCGAACCTCCGCCAGACCTCTGCAGCTATCCGCGGGGCCAGGCCCCACTTGTCCTGGAGTGGGCCCCCCCCCTGGACATTCTGTCGGCACCCACGTTCCGGGCACCCGGGACGTGGCGCGCCCTCAGGGACAGGAGGTGAACCGCCGCCCACAGCAGAATCACCGTCGCCATGCGATGGAGAGCGGGGGATCTGGTGCCCCCCTGTCTGTTCAGATAAGACACCACCGTGGTGTTGTCTGAGCGAACCATCACGTGCCTCCCCTGCAACTGAGGAGCAAAGTGCAGCAGCACCCTGTGCACTGCCTCCATCTCCAGAAGGTTGATGTGGCAGGCTGAGTCCGACCAGCAGCCTCCTACGAAGCTCTGACCGAGGACCCGGCCCCACCCCTCGAGTGACGCGTCCGTGAACACCTCCACGTGAGACACAGCACTGACCAGAGTCACTCCGTCCCGCAAAAGACCCGGAGTGAGCCAGAACCTGATGTCCGACGCTGCAGTTTGGGGAACCCAGATCAGCTTCCCCATCAAGTTCCTCATGTGGAGGAGGCCTAGCCGCACCACAGCATGAGCCGCCGCCATCATCCCCAGAAGGGACCTGAGGCGCCGAGTGGGGACCCTGGGGCCCGCTAGCACCTCCCTGGCCAGACGGGTGATGTTCCTCCGTCTGTCCTCGGACAATGCAGCACGGAACGTCACAGAGTCTAGCTGCAGGCCGAGATAGATCATGCGCTGAGCCGGCTGCAGCCTGCTCTTTTCCCTGTTCACCACAAACCCCAGACGCTGTATGTGGGAAATGACCCAGTGTGTGTGACTCACAGCCACTTCCCTGGTCGAGGCCAGTATTAACCAATCGTCTATATAGGTTAATATCCTTACCCCCGCACGTCTGAGCGGCTCCAGTGCCGTCTCCAC